GCCTCACCAGCATCTTCGAGACGCAACTTCGCTGCTCCACCCAGTATCTGGCCGACGCCTACGCAGAGAACCGGCCTCCCCCCACTCGGGACTCGAGCTTCATCACCTGGGAACAGTCCATCGTGGAAGCCAATATCAACCCTCTCCACAAATGCCGCATGCCAGTTGATCCCAAAACACAGCCCACGAGTGGCTTCAACTTCAAGCAGGCTGAGATTGCCTTCATGGCTGTGCAACGCGATCTTATCGACTCTTATGGCCCCCTAGAGCAGGAGCTTGCGCCTCTGCTGAAAGCCGCCGGCGTGGACCCGCGAACCGCGGCTCTCCCCAACGAGGTCGTGCTGCCCGTTCACGAATTCCAAGTCAGATTCTTGCTTTCGCGACCGGAGGCCGAGGGCAAACTCCGGCTACTGCCCCAGAGAATCAAGGCCCTAGCGCAGGCGTCGACACGGAGCATGACGATTCCCTCCCTCCCAGGTCTGGGCATCAAGCTCTCGCTCTCCATGTTCATCGGGGACAACATCCGTACCATCAACCACCGGTCTGCCTACAATGCCGTGCGCTACTGGACTGCTGGCATGCTCGATCCAGCTCGAGTCTGCGGTTTGCAAGGCATCCCGCTCGAAATCCTTCCTGAGGTGACATGTGCCAATGCACTTGGCGATCACCTGGCATGTATGGTTCGATGGGATCCCTATCACAGCTCGCGGCCCCCCGTCGACGCGGACGTGGGTTACGCAGTGACCGGGGCGTTGATTGAGCCCGCGGAGATCGGAAAGAAGGGATGCGTGGCCGAGTCGGCCTTTCAGTTGACAAGCTTGGCCGATCGTCTCAACTTTCTGCGCGAGTGAGTGCCCCTATCCCCACCTTAAATCCATCATCATCCATCCAAGCAAGCCCTAACTGATTTTCACAGCTACACTCGCGTCTACTTCCGCTGCTTCCTCACGCCCCTCTTCCGCAACGGCCTCTTGCTGGATGCACACGGCCAAAACTCCCTCGTGCGGTTCTCGCGCAGCACCGGCCAGATCCTGGGATTCAGCTCGCGGGACATGAGCGGCACGCGATTCAACGGCACGCACTTCACGCGCACGACGGGGATCGAGATCGACCCGCGCATGAGCAACCACGACATGCCCGTGCCCGACCTTCTCGAACGCGCCTACTTCATCTTCTTCGTCGTGCACCTGTGCCCGTTGCTGATTGCTCTGGACCTGGATTCGCTGTCCGCCGCCAGCTTTACATCGGCCGAGCTGCTGACGGGCGCCGCCAGCCCCAAGGAGTCGGCGGATCTGGCTAAGGGCAACGGCTGCGCGGTTATCGTGCGCGAGCTGCACGAGGTCATCCGCGAGCATGAGACGCTGGCCGGCGATGATGCCTCTGTCGTCAGCGCGCGCGAGCTCGCGGCTGCCGCCCGGGCAATCTGGCTGGAGAAGTCGACGTGGCAGTTGCAGTGTTTTGTGTCGCAGCGCATGCGGGCGGATTGGGCGTGTCGCGATAAGAATGTGAGTTTCCTCCTTCCGGTGTTCGAAGATCAAATTCTGACGGTCGCATAGGATAAACGCTCGTTTGCTTCGGTTCCGAATGTCTTGGTTGCGATGTCTGGTTGATCCTTTGATGGGAGCCTGTGGTGGGGTTATTCATGAAGCTCGAGTCTAATCTGGTTGGATATGGAGTATTTGAGTCTGATCCCTTTCTAGGGAGGGTGCAGATACCCGAAACAGTGAGAGATTCCCTGATATATAGGTGGCTGGTGGAATGCAAATGCAAAGCTATTTCTGCGGTTGATAACCCCTCACCCCTCATCCCCGCATAATGATACCTGAATAGGCATTCTTACCATGAGATTGCATCATCGCATAGATCAGCTGTCCTCATATAAAGCCGATCGCGTTGCAGTATAAACGATAGTATATCCTTGAACAATATATACTGATATACCCAAAATGCCACCCTCCAAGGCCAAGCCAGTCATCCTCTCCCTAGAAGCGATTGCCTCCCAAGCCCCAGAATCGTTCCCCGACCCCTCGCACGGCCATCTCACTTGGCGCACGCTCTTCACCAACCCCGCCACCCCAACGAGCGATCTCTGTGCTGGAATCGCCATCTGTCCTCCGCAAACGGGCCATCTCTGTGCCCACCGTCACACGCAAGCTGAGCTATATTATGTGCTGGAAGGTCGCGCTACGGTGACGATTGACGGGCAGCCCCACCAGATTGCCAAGGGCACGGCCGTGTTTATCCCGGGCGATGCAGAGCACTCGGTCATGAACGACAGCATTGAGGATTTCAAGTGGCTTTATGTTTTCCCTGGGGGGAGTTTTGGGGATGTTGTCTATCGGTTTTCGGAGAAGGCCAAGCTGTGATGGCTGACGAGGACTTTGCTGCACCGCTGCTATTTATAGCTCGGCCCCACTGTCGTTCTCGTTCTCGCTCTCGTTTTCGTTCTCGCGAGTGCAGGTCCAGGCATAAATTATGTTGAATTGGAGGTTGATGGACGAAAGGAATCAAGCTGTGCCGGATCTTTGTGTGGGAGTATAGGGGGTAGAATGCGTAGGCAGCAAGAACGACATTATCTAGATTATAAGAAGTCATGAGCTGGTGTAGCTGGCTGGTAATTGCTCCACGCTCAATTTCGCTCTCCAACGCGATAGTCACTCGTTTAGTCTCTCTTTCTTCTGACATTATTCTCTTCGAACATGGTTGACAGTACGAACATCTACGGCTTCGACCCCAGCGTGGGAGCAGCAGTCGTGGCAGCGCTGCTCTTCGGAAGCAGCAGTCTTCTGCACTGCTACCAGACCTGGAAATATCGCGCCCCTTTCTTCCTCGTCTTCATCGTCGGCGCCATCAGTACATCTCCGTCTCCTCTCCAGCACACACCTTTCTGCAACTGAGACTAATACGCTCGCAGTGATGACCATCGGATACATCACCCGTGACATCTCCGCCCAATCCCCAGACAAACTGACCCCCTACATCATCCAATATATCTGCATCCTCCTCCCTCCCTCGCTCTACGCCGCCTCGATCTACATGCTCTACGGCCGCATTGTCCTCCTCGTCCACCAACCCGCTTTGTCGATCATCGCCCCTACCAAAGTCACCAAGATCTTCGTCCTGGGCGACACCCTCTCCTTCCTAACCCAGCTCGGCGGGGGGTCAATGATGTGCTCGACCTCCACGGCCCAAACCGGCCAAAAGGTCCTGATCGTCGGGCTGATCATTCAGCTCCTCTCCTTCGGACTGTTCTTCCTCACGGCTGTGATGTTCGAAATGCGGTTGCGCAAAATGATGCTGTTCCGCAGACGAACGCACTGGCGCACGCTGCTATACTTCTGCTTCGTGGCTGCGGCGCTGATCATCCTGCGGTGCGTGTACCGGGTGATCGAGGCCGCGCAGGGGGCGGGCGGCTTCTTGGCCACACACGAGGTGTATATCTACTGCTTCGATGCGCTGCCCATGTATGTGGTGCAGGCGGTGTTTCATCTGTGTCCGCCGGGGAAGGCGTTGCGGCCATCCGAAGGGGGGGGTACCTATGGGGAGATGGAGGAGTTGAAGTAGGGTTGTGTGACTAGAGCCAAAATTACCAAGTACTTGCATTAAATTGTTAAATAGGAAATTGGACAATGTTTTATACCTCGCCCAAGTCATGAATATGCACCATTGCTCGTCATGGTGCTAACTTCAGTCTGACCCAAAGGCCCACTCCACTACACGCATCCATCGCCGTCACTTACCAAGCTCATCCATTAGAGCTCTTCTCACTCTTCCAGACAAAGATCTAGTGATCTACCCAGAATGCCACCTCTCCCACCCACATACGTCCCCTACCACGCGGTATGTCCCCCGTCACAAACCACCGTCGCGCCAGTCATAAAACTACTGCCCTCGCTCATCATCAGCAACGCCAACCCGCGAAACTCCTCCGGCCGCCCCAGCCTCCCCATCATATTCTCCGCCTCCCAGACCTCCTTCGTAGCCGGGTCCTGATCGATCACCATCTGCGCCATGGGAGTGACCACATGCCCCGGACAGAGGGTATTCACCCTGACCCCACCATCCCCATCAGCATCCACCTTCGCCCACTCCATCGCTAAGCTCCGTCCAAGCTGGACAACCGCCGCCTTGGAGGAGTTATAGATGGACGAGGTCATCCCTTTGTTAGCGATCAACCCGCTCATACTGGCCACCAACAGAACCGATCCGCGGGTACGATAGGCCCGCATTTGCCGCCCCGCCGCCGTGGCGGTATGAAAAACCCCCTTGTAGTTCGTGTCGATGATCCGGGCCATATCGTGGTCAGTATAATCGAGCGCGTCGGCGACGTGGTTGATCCCCGCCGCCGCAATCACCCCGTCCAGCCGCTTCCGCCGCGCCGCGATGGCCGCCAGCGTCGCCTCGGTGTCGGGCCGGTTCCGCACGTCCAGCGAGGTGTAGTGCAGCCCGCCGCCGAAGTCGGGGCTTGCCCGTGCCTGTGCCGCGTGGAAGTCTGCGTGCGGGGTGGGGAGTAGGTCCAGGCAGTGGACTATCATTAATATCAGTATCCTGCATGCCACTTCGCAGTGAAGTACTCGCTTACGCGAGAAGTCATAAGTGAGGGCGCGTGCATACCTTCACCCCCGGCTTCGACAAGCGCTTCCGCCATGCTCAGCCCTAACCCTCGACCGCCCCCGGTTACTGCGAAAACCTTGCCCTCGAGGTTGAACTCGCGGAAGCGCTGTTTCTGCGCTGGTCCCTTGGGGAGCGGTTGTTTTATGCTGGTTTGTGCCGTGCTGGAGAGTCGAAGGCTATGCCAAACAATTGGGCGGAAAGCCCGTGGGCGCATTGTTCTTGCTGTGAACCGAATGTGCATGATGAATGCACTTGCAGATGAATGTTTAGTTGTGTTATCGGGTGGTGTTGAGCACGTTAATCATTAATCCAGGATTTATAATCTGTATGCGCGGCATCTACAGCCGGAGATGGCAGATCCACCAAGAAAACAGAGCCTTGGCAGGCCAAGGTGAGATGCGATGAACGATGCAACGATGATGACATTGCGATGGTAGAATCAGCGATCGTCAAGCGTCCAGAGACTGGAGCCGGTTCTTGGCGGTTCTTCTCCCGTAACTTTAAACGGGACGATCGACTCGAATAGAGTTGAATGTGTGGACAAGAGCTTTCAGGACTGCGGCTGACGGTACCTGGATATGGCAAACATGGGGCGGCAAGTGCCGACTCGGCCATGGGACGTCATGTTGAAATATGCCCGTGCGGAGGAGATGACACCATTATGAACTCAGCTGGTCACGATGGAGGTCGCTTTCTAGTTGCTTCTACGTCCAAGAACGCTGAAGACAAACTCCCCGTGCGCATCGGTGTCCTATTTCTGATTATCATTGCAACGTTACGCAAGATGTGGAATAGAAAGAGAGTCAAATAATCAGGCACAGGTTGAACAGACATCTCATAACCTCGCCGTGGCCGCCGCAAACACCCCTCGAGGATCGTGTTTGCCTCTCATAACCACCAACCACGCAAAATTCTCCCCAAATATTCGCGACATTTGCACCTCCTTCGGAGCCGTCAAGGACAGATACGTCGACGGGAGAAAACTCTCCTGATTGGTGCGGCTCAGCTCGCTCCAGAATTCCTGCCCCCACGCAGTCGCAAGGTCCAGATTCTCTTCGCGCTGCGCATTTGCAATGATCTCGAACACGAAGAGGCCTTCCCTGACCGCAAATACAGAGTCGGAGTGGCCCTGGGCCGATGGGGTGCCGGTCCGAATCTCATGCATGGCGAAAAAGGTGTGCGGGTCCGTCGGCATCTTCAGGACGCTGGTGGAGATCACGTCTAAAACCTCTTCGCTCAATCGCTTCAGGCTGATCGTCCGCACACGCCCACGCGTATGGGACGGCACCATTCGATCCGTGCAGGTCAGATAGGTAAGGGGCGTTGTTGATTGGACGGCGTTGTGAGCCACCGGAGCTAGAGCGCTGATTTTCTCGGCCCATAATTGTCCAGTCTTGATGTCGGAGGACGCCCAGACGAACAGGACAACCAAGGTCTTACCGTGAGGAAGGTTGAGGACACTCTGTTGCAGGGTGAGCTCTGCAGGGATCCCTTCGGCACATAAAGCCTGGTAGCCCGTGTTGTACTGTCGGATAACTGCAGGGAGATCATCGGACTGGAACGCAATGGCGCCCGCGAGAGTCTGCCGATGGTCAGAGTCGCCGACTAGGGACATGTGGATCAAAACATACTTGAGCCAGGCGGTGCACCGGAATCGTGAGCTCAGCGACAACCCCGAATGCTCCCCCCGCGCCACGAAGGGCTTTGAGCAGCTCTGTGTCGGCGTCCACCAGCTCCCCCTGAGCGTTGATAACTTTGGCTGCCAGGATTTGATCGACTCCCAATCCAAACTTGGAACTGTACGGTCCGTAGCCACCGTACATCGCCCAGCCCGCGTATCCGACCGAGGAGACTGTCCCGACTGCAACGGCCAGCCCATGCTTCTGCAGCGCACGGAACAATCCCCGCCGAGGATGCCTCCCCCGATCCGCGCGGTCGAGGACTCCTGGTCAATCTCGACGTAGTTAATCAAACGCATGTCGACCGCGACCGCCCCATTTCGGATGAATCGCCCAAAGGAATCGTGGCCTCCCGATCGAATTGTGAATGGGATGTCGTTAGCCACCACGAAGGACACCATAGAAGCCGCAGCCTCCACAGTAGATGGACGAGCGATCACGAGGGGATTCAAGTCGGGTAGAGACACATATGCCGCGCGCAGCTCCGCAAACTTAGGAGAGGACGGGGTGGCATGTTGGATGGATGGGTTGTTTGCGAAGAACCCGGCGAGTTTGTGCAATCGCGCCCTCGCAAGATCTTCAGTCATAGCGTCAGCTATTCTATGCGCTCAAGCGCGCTGATACTGGAATATTGGGAGATTGAGGTTGGTGACACCATGGTGGCCTTCTCCTGTTCATATATCTAATACGTCATGTGGCTCCGACCCCGCTAAATGCGTAAGAGTAAAGCTTTGTCTTGCTCTGCGGAGGGTTGCACAGTATTTAGGACTGCCATCTATCCGCTGAGTCAGAGTGCAGGAATGTGTCGGAGAGCTGAAGTTCGACCCCGATAGGCCGTAGCGTCTGTGTCTGCGTGGTACATCATCCCTCGGAGTTTGCTGTCTTCCGAGCGAAGCAAGGCTGGCCAGCAGAAGCCTCGGATGTCAGGTAAGCACATATTTGGTCAGCAGCCTATTATTCAGCATCCTAGACCCCCTCCCCCTCCTTGTATTCACCGAGCACCCCTCAGTCCATCAGTTCGATCAAGTCCTGTCTGCCGGTTCTCTGTGCATTCTCCCGCGCACTTCCAAATGGCCCTCTCAAGTCCGGATCTGCCCCTTTCGCCAGCAGCCACCGCACCCGGTATCTTGCGCCCGCCACAACCGCATAGACAAGGGCATACCGATGCGTCATGTGCTGCGTCTCCTCCGCCGCATTCACTTTTGCACCCCGCTCGACGAGCAACTCCATGATTGGGATCTGCGCACGGTCGGAGTCTTCGTTCTGAATCTTCTGGTTGGGATAGACATGTGGATTCCAGCCAGCAGGACATCTACCCGCCGCGCAGTGCAGCGGGGCGCCCTCTTGGATATTTGCGCCCGCATCGAGGAGTAGGCGGACGGATTCGGGATTCCCGTAGTTGGCAGCCAGTTCAAGCGGAGTCAGCCCTTGAGCGCCCGTGATTGGGCCCACATCGTTTGGATTGAACCCATGGGCGAGGAACCATTCCAGCACAGGGGCATCGTTGACCACCCGACTCAATATGATCCTGTCTACAGGACGGTGAGTGTGGGGGTGCCATCCGCGACGGTTGAGAAGATCAAATAGTCGAAGGCGCTGGTCTTCTGGGCCTTCAAGAATGCTGACAGGGGTGCGTTCAAGGATGGGGGCTCCACTCGTGAGGAGATACTCGGCTGTTTGGAGGTTCCCTGCCTGAAGGGCATGGGTCAAAGCTCGATGCAGAAAGGCTGGGCTCAAAGGTTCTGTGGACAGTGCCTCCTGGAGGGCTGAGAGAGGACCTTTCCGACAGAGGTGGTCGAAGGGAGTGCTTGGGGGTGGCGTGCGGTCAATGCAGGTGCGATCGATGGGAGAGCTGATGGGGAGATCATTGTAGTAGCCAGCACTCATGGGGGTTCCAAATGCTGGTCGTTGCATTTTTGAGGCCGATTGCATTTGAGCTGCCTGTGCACGCTGCATTGCCTGCTGCTGGAGAAGACGCAGTGCGTGCTGATTGGAAAGGGCATGTTGTTGAGGCATAGTGGATTGGTGATGGAATCATTGACCAAGACGTAGCTTGCCCCAGTGCGCGGGAAGAGCCTCCTTATATACGCCGAGTAGCAGGCGGAGAGGATACTCCGGCTAACCCATTTGGGAAGGGCTATTTTGTACCGTCCGTGTAAGGCATTCAGCGCATGCCATCGCCGCTTCTGCATTTGGCTTCATGGCTGCGCAAAGATCCAGTCCATTGGAGACAGGTACACTTGGTTCGGATCGATGCCCGTCTGATTGAACCCGAGTAAAGAAGCGTAGTCGATGGCATCTGCCCGGGTGGTGGAACCCAGAATCTCTGCTTCACCCGCGACACCATGAGCGCCAAGGCTTATGTTCGCATCCATTTGAGGCGAAAATCTCTGCGTGCCACCAGCTGCTATGGCATCGCTATTTAGCGGTTCCAGATTACTGCGACCGGGGAAAGATACTTGCATTTCGAGTATCCTTCTACGAATGTCCGCTACCATTCGTGGTGGTTGTGGTATTCCGTCAGGCGATGCTGCCTCGCGCGCTTCCCAGGCCTGAAGAACGAGGCGCGCGATGACCACGAATATAGACGATTCATTCGCCACGCTACCCACGTTGCGCGCTTCGTAGTTGTCACTCATTGATTCCCAGATCGCAGTGGTTTGTTTCGCCGATCGTCTCCGCAGATCTTGGAGAATGTGTATGTAGGCGGGTAGCGGGAAGTACATGAGCAGAAACCACCGATATCCCTCGGTGAGTGGGGAGGCCATCAGTTTGGTGTCCGAGTCGAGGACAGTAAGGGCATGGTCTAGAGCCTTGTCCAGCGCGGATTCTGTCGGCTTTTCGCGAGCTTTTGCCTGTTGGGTGTAGTATTCCAGGAGATAGTTCTTGGCCACTGTCCCACGTACTGTCCAGAGAACCATGTACTGCAGAGGATTGTCGAGGCTACAGGAGGCGAGATACTTGCGCTCTATAGTATTCTCGAGCTCGGCCATATCGCTGGGATGCTGGGATGTGCCCACCATGCGATGGAGGAGGGGATTCGTGAGGTCAAGATGAAAGGGACTATGACGGATAAAGTCTGCAATCTCACTCCGAGCCACAGTAAAGATTGCCTCGGTCGGTCGGTCGTGTGCGGCAGGCATTGCCGTCATCTCAGGTCGGAGATCAAAGTCGTGTATGTTGGCTGGTGGCCGGCAGTCCCAGGTTGGTTCTAATGGAGCTGTTCGGTAGTCGAACATCTCGCAAATGCGGCTATCGAACAGGATGAGAGACCACCACAGCCGGCGGCGCATCTCCCCTTCCAACGCCGGGTAGCGAGCATTGGCCGCTTCCTGATGTAAGCACATACGGCGCGCGATGCGGATAGCCACAGCTAACATGGAGGACAACGACCGGGGGTCCGTATCTTGACGTATAGACACCTTTTCGAGATCAGTATTTGCAAAACTCAGAGATGATTTTATGCACCGACCAGGTACAGAAACAGCGCAGTCAAACTGTCGAGATCGGGAGATCGAAAAACATCACAGCGCCGCAACGCCTGCTGGCAAGCGAGCTGGTAGCGACCTATTTTCTCTTTGCGAGCAGCGCCCAGGACCCTCCGGCAGTCTTCTTCCGTGCAACTCAACAGAGCCATGCAGTAGATACTGAACATTAAGGCCTCCAGTGCCGAAGGGACCCGAGCTAAATCGGCTGCGGCGTCGATGATGCGGGACTGCAAGGTTGGCGTGTGAGTGACCTTGAGCAGTGGGTCAATGTTATCCAGATACGTCTGCCAAAGTCGAAAGATTTGAGCCTGGTCTGGGTGCGCGGCTGCAAGATCCATGTCGGTCGCTGCAGGGCCGAACAGGAGGGAATCATTCGGTTCACGCTGGTACATCTGATTCCAGACAGTCGTAATCACGCTTTGATTTACATCCTGGCCGAGACCACCATGGGTTGCCTCATCGTCATGGTCAGGGTCCCTTGCATCCGCTGCCTGGGGGTACATCAGTCCAGCCATCCCAATCTCAATCTGCGACTTGCATTACCCTTTGATTCATGGCATGCCACAGGTTTCTATATGAGATATGAGCTAGCTGCACTAGAGATTTGCTTTTGTTCTGTAGCGGTGCAGGAACCTACACTGCTTTGGGCTTCGCATCCGATGGTCGTTCTAGCTCGGACCTGCATGAGCTTGGCTCCCTCTCACCGGGTGAGGTCGGGTCCTCCGGCGAAGGATGTAACGGCTGAAATGGGATGTTGTTGTCGCGTAGGAGGTCCTCATAATGACGGAGACGCTCTAGGAGGTCGCGCTCGGCGAAGCGTCGACGTCGCTGGCGCGTAGCCAGCACACACTCCGCGCCCGCGCGAAGGCAGTTGGCACAGGGCGATTTGCGATCGCATCTGATCTTGCGTTGCTGACAAAGCACACAGGATAAGACTCGGTGTGGCTTGGAGCCAGGCGCGGTGGGGGGCGACTCTGCGGGGGTGGACATGACAGACAACAGCGACCATTCTTGGGAGACAAACGGATGGACGCCGTTCGATGGATGGTTGTAGACGAAAGAGAGAGTCCGAGGCAGGCGCGACGCCGGCGACCGGAGATTATGGGCTGCGGTGGCAGCCTGAGGCATCCAGCTAATGCCTTTCTCGGGACTTGGAATTCCCGAGGCTGCTCAGCATCTTTCACCACCTTCTGCATTTCGATGATTTATCTTCAATCTCAGTATTTAGCCATCAAATTCACCTAGGTCCATGATAAATAACGGACTTTGAGATGTAGAGACCACCTGCGTGGCCTTACATAACTGGAACTAGAGGTAACAGCTATAATTCTACTCGATAGACTGCAAATTGACTCCTGGAGAACACCTAAATATACTCTCCAGAGGAAAGTATGCCCAGCTTACATACCAAGTACTCATAGCTATAGGGTGCCGATGTGAAAGGGCTTCGTGTCCCCGGCACGGATAGGGTCAACATCCCGAGGTCAAAGCTCAAGCTCTCATACATGAGTAGTACTGGTATGTCCGAGAGGTAAATCACCACCAGATAAGCAGTTGTACTGTACTTGAGGCTGCCAATGAGCAAGAGAGCCAAGCAGATGTACGTGGCCTGGGGTGACTCAATTACAAAGCTCGGTGCCTCGTTGGAGGACGCTGTGAGTCAGCGGAGGTCGGCCTTCACATGGCAGCGCCACAGACAAGGACCCATACATGCTTCTGGGTCCTACGTAGCCACTGTTCAGGCCTATGGGGTGTTGGGATAGGGCTGCAACGATGCGCGCGCAGGCAGTAACTATGCGAAGTGTGGCTGAGGTGGCGGTGTCTCTCGGGCTTAACTTCTTGATCGGGCAGCTCAAGCCGATAGTGGCTCGGGTCTGAGTCACGGTGCGCTCTCATTGCGGCGCGAAAGGCCTAGCGCGGCATTATCTCCGAGTGCAGTAAGAAGTCCGAGGCTCGGGAAATACGAATTCCGCCTTATCTCCGACCGGCAGCAAAAGTGGCGAGTGAATGCATCCCAGGCTGGCAACAAGCGTTACGACGACTATATCGCGGTGGCGAAACTCTATCAAAACATCCAGCATGGTCACCTTGATGGGAATCTATAAAAGCTGTAGAAATCCCGGGCTGATGATGTCTATCTCCATCACCCAACACTTTGTTCCATTCATCCCTTAATCAAAATACCTTCTCTTCCTCTACATCAATTCACTACTACCATTTCTCTCATAAAATCAACAACAACGAACAAACAATATGGCTTCGATACGCCAACTCAACCAAACTGCTCCCTTCTGGGACTTTATCGCCGAGATTGAAGAACGCGGGTTCTCCCACCACCATGATCACGACAACGATGCCACCGACAACGAAGAGCAGTGGCACGGTCGAGGAGGTCGCCACGGACGTCGTGGCCCTCACCACCGCCGCCACCGCGAGCCCACCCCGGAAGACGATGAAGACGACGAAGAAACAATCCACGAAGTAGAGCTAGAGGAATCATCCTCGGACAGCTCCGACGAAGAACACGATGAGCCCCGCGGCCCCAAGCCACACCACGGCCGCAAGGGTCACGGAAAGCACAGCGGTTTCCACGGCAAGGGACATGGCGGTCCTGGTCGTCGTCGCCACAGCCCCGGACCAGGTGGTCCCAAAGGCTTCGGACCCCGAGGCGGCCCTGGTCCTTTCTCGGGTCATCGAGGTCCCCACGGTTTCGGGGGCCCCGGGGGTAAATTTGGCGGTCACCACTTTGGTCTCCGCGGCGGCTGCGGTCCTCGTGAAGATATCGACTTCCTTGAGCCCTTCGGCCCTCACAGAGGTCACCACGGCGGATTCGGTGCCCGTGGTGGTCATCACGGACCGCACCCGTACTGGGGAGGACGCAAGCACATGCGCGGATTCAAGCATGGCGGCCGATGTGGTCCTCCCCCGCCTCCTCCGGGCTTCTTCGGACCCTGGGGCCGATTCGGATTCGACAACAAGAACAACACCGAGTTCCAGCCCGAAGTGGATGTCTACGATACCCCCGACGCTTTCCTCATTCACGTCTCCCTCCCCGGTGCTAAGAAGGACGCGGTGGAAGTCAAGTGGGATCCGCGCAAGTATGAACTCAACATCTCTGGTGCCATCGAGCGCTCTGGAGACGAAGAACTGCTAAAGGCCCTGGCGCTGGACGAGCGTCGGGTGGGTGCCTTCGACCGAAAGGTGCGCCTGGGCAGTGCTGCCCACCCGGTTGAACTGAATGCCGATGAAATCACGGCGGAGATGGAGAATGGGGTCCTCAGTGTGCGGTTGCCCAAGGTGGAATCGGATGTGGTGGTGGTGACCAAGGTTGATATTCAGTAATTGGCGCTGCTTTTCGGGTTACTCGCTATGGAAGTGAGGCGTTTTTGGGATTCTTGACATACTTCTGGCTATAGTGTTTTGTGTTTAATTTACGATGTCTTTCTGTCCCAGCAAGATCCATTTTCGGAGAGAACTGCGAAGCGTAGTTCGTAGCCTGTATCCCAGCAGAAGCTTTTGAGTGTAGACGGCTCGTAGTGTAATTTCCCGTGCGAGCATGTGATGAATATTGACTTTGACCAGCGTGGAGGTTTCATCCTCTGGGAAAGTTGTCGGAGTAAGGTATGTAGACATGGCACTAGGGACCCAACACGGCACCAGGTCGTATATATGGATCTATTGGATATTACACTGGGTGCGCTTATAATTGATACGAACCCTCCAGAGGCTTCGGTCCCTCCTTCGACTCCATTCCTCATGTATGCACAATCCTGGTCGTCTTACTATGCATCACTAGCCACATTTAGCGTACTCGGTTCGCCATGCAGAGTCTCGGAGTCGGAGGCATCGGGGCAGGAGGCTCGTATCGCGCCACGTGCCGAGTGCCATTCATGGCAAGATATGCGGTTCGCTCTCACGCTGCATCAGATCTCATCTTGGCTATCGGCCAGGAAAGGAAGGTACATAGAAAACCCACCGGGGACCCTCCCGATACCCGACAACACGAGGCTCTAGAGTGGAAATCACTTTAAATTACCCTATTTCGGCTCCGACTCCTCGGGAAGTATAGTATAGGATACTGCTAGTATATTGGTTGATACACAGACTGCGGTGAAGGTGTCATTGGGGAGAGTCCGGCCTGTTTGACTGTGCTCCCTAACCCATGGAGGTAAGCTTCCTGGTGGCTGATGGCGCAAGCAGAGCAATATGGGTCATCTTCTCGTAATTGCCAGCGATAGATAGCAATTCGCGAGCCGTTTCTGCAGCGAGACACCCCGGTGCTGCAGACGATTGTCCCGCTTAGCCTAGATTCAGGGTGAAGCGAGACCCCTGTCATGCAGGGACAGCAAAGCTGCCGACAGAGTCTCACTCCCCCATTTTATCCAAGACCCGGCATTTCAAACACGAGAACGTTCTGCAGCAGGTCGGGGTGATTGGCGTAACCACTCCCTGCAGTGGAGGCTTGGGCATAGCGAACCGGTGCGATCTCTCCCTCCTTCATAATGCCTCATTCTTGGCGGAGTTGGGGCTAGAATCGCCGTTAGATTGATAGCAGATTGTCCCCGCATTCACCCGTCATTTCGTAATACGGGACATCTGATGGAGAATGTAAGACAGAGGGATACTGCTTTAGGGTTGGGCGGTTCTGCTAACCAGCAATCAAACGTAAATGGGCGAGCGAGATGACATCCCGCCGGGGCAAAGTGGTTGGAGAAGGGGACAAGGGACTCAAGGGAGTGGCATAGAGTCCATTTTCCCAATGAGGGTTATTTAGTGCGAATTAGTGCATCTTCATACGGGCTTGTTTGTCAAGTGGTGCAGTGGTGTGCAGTGGCAGCTCCTTCGAGAATCCACTATCAATCTAATTTGCGGAAGGTGATTGGATGGATCGGTACAACTGGAGATATTGAGTGGGGAAGAGCAGCTTGAACACGGCGCGACTTCCTCCGGGCGCTCGGTTGGCACGGCGGCACTGCCAAGCCCGACCAGTCAGAATCCCATAAGCAATCCATAATCCGTGCTCCGTATAGAGAGCCACCAGTGCAGTGCAGTAGTTACTGTAGCCCTAACCCCGGCTCATCGTAGTCCATCAGGGACATTGTCCCTCTAGTTCCTCTAGTCCCTCTAGTCCCTCTAGTCCCTCTCCAGGCTGCAGCCAAGACTTCTGCGATACGAGATCCCAGTCGCTTCGAGATGAGTAGATGGTTGACAATCATGACCCAATGCTGAGCATACCCTTCCTGTTCGGAGACACCAAGGGCTTCCAGATGGCGGATGCCCAGGTATAAAGAGGCCCCCATCGCCCAGGCAAATAGAGAATCATCAGAGACTCATCACTCCGAGAATCCCAGCAAGCAAAGACCAAGCCAGTCCAGCAGCACCTTCTCAGCTTCAAAATGCGTTTCAGCAACATTCTCGCAGCCCTGGCTCTTGGAGTCTCCTCTGTTCAGGCGTGGAACCGTATCGACAAGGACAATGCGGTAGGTCTTGACAAGAACGCCCTTGTGGTTCGCAATTTGAGTGTCTGACACTTCTATCCAGGCCCTCCTTGTGATCGACCACCAGGTCGGTCTCACCCAGCTGGTGCGCGACTACAGCACCAACGACTTCCGCAACAACATCATTGCCCACGCTGCCATCGGCAAGGCCTTCGACCTGCCCACCGTCTTGACCTCCTCCTCCGACACTGGCCCCAACGGTCTTCTCCTCAAGGAGATCACCGACATGCACCCCAACGCCACCTTCGTCCGCCGCCAGGGTGAGGTCAACGCCTGGGACAATGCTGAGTTCCGTGCTGCCGTCAAGGCCACTGGCAAGAAGCAGCTGATCATCGGTGGTATTGTCACTGAAGTTTGTAAGTCGCCCTCTACCAATATAATCTGAGACCTCGGGAGGCTAACGATCCCAGGCACCGCTTTCCTGGCTCTCTCCCTGATCGATGAGGGCTACGAGGTGTATGCCAACACCGAGGCCAGCGGTACCTTTGATGCCAAGCTCGCCATCGATGCCAACCGCCGCATGGAGAAGGCCGGTGTCACTCTGATGGGCATCTTCGGCATTGTCTGCGACCTCATGCGTGACTGGCGCAACACCCCCGGCCTGCCCGAGCTCCTCCCCTGGCTCGACCAGTAAGTTCTGGATGATCTCATCGAATTTCGTTCTGTGGTGCTAACGACCCCTGCAGGTACCAGTTTGCTTACGGTCTGGTTGCTCGCCACCACGCTGGTGCCATTGTCAACGGTACCCTGGCTGCCGTCGAGGAGACCCTGATCTAAACCTCGTCCGCGCCACTCGGGCACTCCGAGGCCGATGGCCTGTAGAGCAAACCTGGCGACAGTGGCTTTAGCCTTCGTGGGTGCCCGACCGCTGCCCCCTTGTCAAGATAAGCCTTGGACTTGGTTCTAGTGGCTTTGGTTGTGGTCTTGGGTGTTCGAACTATGATACAGTCTAGTAATAGAGAATGGAGTGATTTTTTGAAAGTTTGGTCGATGACAGCTGACAGCCAATTCACTAATGCACACGTAAGAAGCTTGTAAGCCAGGGTCCGGAACCGTTAGCTTCAGGGACTCTTCCGTACTCTTCCGGCTACTCTAATCCACTCAACCTTTCCTAAATTTCCAGGATAATATTTCCGCTCCAGATTCTGGCACGGACTGTAGTATAACATGGCCAGTATGTCTACCTCATGACTGAGGAGTTGTTCTCCTGTGATGGGACGAACCGATCTTCTGCCAAAAAGAAAACGGATAGAAATTAAGTATAACAATATGGAACATGGCAGAATCGCGTTTAGGCCGAGATTCAGGCCCAGTGCCCCATGTCTGGAAATTCGGATTGTTTTCCATAATCCTACTCCGAAACATGAAGAGCAAAGTAAGATTGATCATCATGAGAGGTTCACTTCATCTTTCCAGAGACCTGCCAAGATCGTTGCAGATGGTCAACCAACCACATATCAGAATCTCCCAAGTCCGTTATCGCCGCTATCGCCGACTCACGTCTCACTCCTAACTCAGAGTAAGTTACTCTTCATTATCCTCATCTAATCAACTCTAAGCGATTGTCATCTACATCGACTGCATACGCACGAATCACAAAGTCAAATACTTGAACATGCATCTGGAGTTCATCGACGGCAACACTGCCATCTCAGCCACCACCCGAAAGCGCATCCGTAGCCATGTGGCTCGAGGCAAGAACGCGGGGAGACGCCTCGCACGGCCATCCCGGCTGAACAAAGCCCATATCGATCCTCCGACTTACTTCCGTATCCCTGCCCTCCTTCAGGGTCAGAATACCAAGGAACATCCAGAGGCTATGTGCGACATCGAAAGACCCATCACGAGCGGTTTAATCTTCCCGGTGGAGATGGAGCCACAAACTCGGGACATCGCACACAAGGGTATGTCCGATCTACAGAGCAGTGGCACCGATGGCATGTTAACGGTCTCTAGCGTTTGGCTTCATTCGTGACCTACGCGGTGCTCCTGGGTTATTTCACATCGTTGAGGAACCAAGCGCTCCTTTAATTTGGGTCCAATACATGTTCCTCGACGCCGCGTGTGAGTGATCTGGTGATTTTGACTTGGCCATCGAGAACGCTGACGGCGAGCAAGACTTCCATTCAGTCATCGCCACGTGTCTGTGGATTGTACCGGGACTCATATCCGAGCAGCACAGAGTCACCGAGGCTTCGCGCCATTTATTACACACTCTACGCCTCATCAACGTCCGGCTGGCCGGCGAAAACTCCACCTCGGATGACACCGTAGCGGCCGTCGTGGGCATGGTGCACTACGAGCGACACCAGGGGCAGTTCGGACGCGCTCTCATTCACATCCGAGGGCTGCGGCAGATGGTCGACCTGCGTGGCGGGGTTCTAGAGTTGGGATGTGAGCTGGCAAGGAAGATATTTCTGTATGGGTTGGCAAAGCTGGCTGTGATACGTCCCGCTGACTAGCATTCAGGTGTGATATTGAATGTTCATTCCAGCTGGGCTGTGAGCCTTTGTTCTCTGTTGAAGAGGTTGATGCTGTGGCTTTTTCAGCAAATGACTTTGGGTTGAGACCCACTCCAACGACATCTGGAGCCGTCCCCCAAGGACTAAATCCATGTCTAGCCCCGCTGCTACGACATGGAATGCATATTGCACTTGTTTACAATACCATTGACACCGGTAAACGACCGAAGCTTACATATTATTCTCATTTCGATCTCGTTCTATCCTTCGGCTATCGGCTGTTACAATTCAGTCCATTGCAGGGACCGCGGCCAGTTAGTCATCTAGACGATGTCATTCACCTTGGCTTGATAATCTTTCTCTGCACTTTCATTCGACGACTGGATCGTGGCATCGCTGACAATTATCTACTTGCGAAACGACTTCGGTCTGTCGCTGAGAAAGTGGGAACCGATCGTGAAACACAGGAAGCACTGCTGTGGGCTCTGCTTGTCGGTACAGCATCTATCCTCTCAAGGGATATCCCGGAGTGGCTTACGGTAATGGTTGCAACTCTGATACAGAGTCTGGGGCTTGCTACCTGGGAAGATACTCTATACTTACTTCACCAATATCCATGGGTCAATGCCCTTCACGATGAGCCTGCCCGAGGGCTTTGGCAAAAAGTGTCTCCGTCTTCTGATACATGATTAGTGAACTAATAAAAGACAATCATATTGATGACAAAGCTATGAGCAAGATAGCGCATCCTGATACTTGAGAGGTTCTCTAAGTAATGGATATCCGGCACAGTCTTCTTCGCAATGATGCCCGACCATTCAACTACTGCCTCAGCATAGCTTCTACACATCCCGGCTCAACCGACTCCAGCACCTCCGCCAGAGCATCCCACATTCGTTTCTGCATTGCTTTCCCTTCTTCATCGGTCACCCAGTCGGGAACATCATTCCTGTATTCGAGCATCAGCGCAGTTCCTGAGATAAATGTCAACATGCAAATCTTACTCGCCCATCTCGCACGAATGGAGAAGACACCCATGGGATTCCCTCCCCGCCACCGCACCATGCAACAGCGTCCGACTCCCATCTTCCGCCGTCCGCCCGTAAAGCCGATGCATATCAGTGATCTGTGCCTTATGGTCCGACGGAACATTACGGATCAGTTCAGTCGTGCAAAGCCCTGGGCAAACAAGGTTGAAGATCACCCCCGTGCGCTCGACGGGCAGCATAGTCACGAGGTGCTTCAGGGCCAGGATCTCCATCAACTTCGACAGGGGATAACTACCGCATGCATTAGCTTGGTCCTTCTCTTCATCAGATCACAAACAGTGACTGAACAGTAAGAGGACACTCACCTCTTAGCCTGCAACCCCTCATCCCGTTCAATCCCCACCAGCGGATCCTCCCAGATCCCCTGCCACTCCTCCTGGGCTGTGAACCCGATTCGACTCGTCACCATCACCACCCTGACCAGCCCACCATCACTCCTCTCCGCACTCTCCCGCATCTTCCCCGCCAACAACACAGCCAAGAAGAACGTCCCCAGCACATTGACCGTCACAGACAAGAGATGGCCTTCCGCGCGGACAGGGCCCACCATCGCCACCGCCGCATTCTCGATCACCGCATCAATGCGCTCCAACTCTGCAATGGCCCGCTGCGCAAACGCCTTCACTGAATCAAAGCTGCTGAGGTCGAGGTGCCACACCTCCACCACGCCGGGACGAGTGGTACCGTTCTCGATCGCGTCTTTCGCCCTCTCGCCAGCCTCGAGACTCCGGACTGCCAGGATCACCTTGTCGGCTCCGAACGCGACGAGATGCTTCGCCGCCTCGAAACCGAGGCCCGTGTTTGCTCCGGTCACGATGTAGGTTCTCCCTGAGATGGCCTCGGGGGTGGCGAGGAGGGGGAGATTGCGGCGTTGGGTTGAGACAATTTCGTCGGTAGACATTGTCACTTCTTCTGTATCTTGTTTTTTTTCACGGGGAATGCAGATCTCAAGGGAAAGAAGATTGGCGTTGATGGCTGTTAGTCCAACTGAATGGAAGCGGTTTCTCGGAGTCGACATGCTCTTTATACCCATGGTTGGCGGTGCGTCATGTTTGCTATGGTTGATCGGAGTTTACGGAGTATATGATTTCAAAGAATAGTAATGATTTTGTAAATGTTCTTAAGTCCGACACAGCATTGGATCTTGGGGTTTAACATCAGTATCTCCATCAAGGTGACGATGTTGGTTGATACCCCAGGTTCGACCACTGGGAGAGTAGTGTCCTAATCGGGTTAGCTGGGAGATACGCGGGCGCCCCCCGTGGGTTCGAGCGGGGCAACTTTTGGCCAGTGGCATCGGGTCATGACTCAGCTTTGGCACCTTCAGGAAGATTGATACTCCGGGCTAGTTCGAAGATGACCGTCCTTCTGTCACGTGAGCTTGCGGTTCACCTCCAGCTCTTCAAGGTTTGTACTCCGGATTCCTCAAGCCCTCAACAAAAGAAACAAAACCCCGACTTTTGAGAAGAAGGTACAATGTCAGCTTTCAGACTCACTGGTCAAGATCTAGATAACAACCTCGTTAGCTCTATAGCCTCTCTTCTGAATGCTGCTGGCGTTCTTAATCTACTCTGGTGAATCATCATGAGTTGCGCAAGCAAAAGGTGGCATTGCTTACCCTTTACCTAAGATAGTAAGGGCAGGCAGGCATTGACATACGTACTTCCCAACCATCGCGAAAAATATTTCGGGAATGGGTCCAAGTGGTGGGATACCACTTCTCCAGCTGCGTACGAAAAGCCCTTGAATCCATATCGATCGATATAGGCAGCAAAGAAAAGGAGGAAGAGAGCGCAGAAACAAGGTATTGCGACCGGGCAAGCTACTCAATAGCCTCCCGCGTAGCATGCGGCAATAATCCACCATGTCACATAGGACGATCCCACGGATGCTCAGACGCGCTCTGTATATGCACAGCACCCCCATGCTCTAATCGAAATGTGCAAGGCATCTCAGCCTGGATAATTACACTATACACGGTCGGGTCGACCCAAACTGTACAATCTCCTCCCACAGAAATCAATACCCCTCCTGATCGTTCCAGTACAGCGTCCCGTGCTGCACCTCGCCGGTCGGCTTGAGCTCCCAGCGCAGAACCAGCCGCGTCCACTGCAGCAGATGGCTGGCCACCTTGATGTGGCCGACGTCCGTCGGGTGGTTCTTGGGGTTGATGTCGTTGTGCTGCAGGATGCCGTCCGTGTTGAGGTAGTGCACGAAGGTCCAGCGCAGGTCCTTGAAGTACTCGTACACCCGGATAATCTCGTCCTTGTACTGGATCGTCGACTTGTACTCCGTGCCGACTTTCTGGAAGGGGCCCCATTGCGACTGGCCGACCGTTAGCGGCAGTCGACCGACATGAGCAAATCGGCAGGTGGTTTGCTTACCATAAGAACGATTTCGGCTTTGGGCCACACGCGATGGATCTCCTCCACCATGTCGACGTAGGCTTGGTAGAATTTGTCGCCGGGCACTTCGTTCGGGTGGCGCCAGTCGTTTCCGCCCATCTGGATGAACACCAGGTCGGCGGGTTGCTCGGCCGAGTTGTCGAAGGCGGGAGGGTTGTCGCCGTAGAATTGGTGGGCACGGGCTCCGGGGTCGGAGGCACGGTTCCACCACCAGGTCTGCAAGTGTTAATTCGTTAATTCTGGGGACGGCGTGCAGTTCGAAGATTGGGGGAATACCATTCCGTGGACGCCACCGCCGTAGCATTGCATGTCAGCCAGGCAGACACCGGGGTATGCCTAGATTAGTAGGATGAGTAAGAGTGTGCGTGTGCAGTTTGAAGGGCCTCTTAAGAGAGGGTTCCACTGACAGTGATGGTAAACTCAGCATCTCCGAGTCCAACGCCGTAGAGGAAGGACCAGGACGACAAGGTCTCGTAGGTGGCATATTGACCCCCGGCCAGCCTGTTCGGTCAGTACCTGAACACGCAAGCATCCACCATGTACACTCACGAGCCTCCGATAATTTCCACCTTTCTCTTGTAGGGAGTGGGTTTCGTGATGTAGGCGTCCTTCGCAACGGAAACGCCGGCCAACTGGACTGTGCAGGGGATGAGCAGCGGAACGGCATACGCGCAGAGACCAACTTATCCTATGCCCCAATTCGTCACTGGCAAGTTGTCAGCCTTCAGGTTCTGCGCAGCACAAGCTTATCCGGTTCGCGCACCTCGCATCTCAAACACATTGCTCTTGGTGTCGATGCCATCGGTGAAGTCATCGGGCCCGATGAACTGGTAGGTCGCATCGGCCGTCACGTTCGAAAATCGCCAGTCCAGAGACCCAATTCTGTGGGATTGTAGTTGGTATCGCGGGATGATCGAGAGTGAAGAAGGTAGGGTGAAAGGGGGGGGGGGAGTATACCGATAAGCGACGAGGGCGCCGTTGGAGGTACTGGGGCCGAAACTTAGAGCTAACTGGAATGTGGAGTCGCAATGCGTCAGCCCTTTTTCTGTCTTTCTTCCACGGTCGGCACGGTCGGTCGCGGGGAGGATTGAAACCTTACCTTGTTGCCGGAAAACTCAACCTTGATCCCAGGGGCTCTATGCGCAGAGAGGCAGAGAGTTAGTGACCTTGAGTCCGGCGCATGCCATTTTTCACGGAAAGAACAGAAAGACCCACGACCACCCTGGTCTTGAATTAGCCACCAACTACAGAGATTGAGGTATTTCCCACTTGAGGTGGACTCACAGGAAATGTGCTGGCTATCCCAACGGCCTTTGTAGGCAATCTCCGGAACCCCCGCGTCGTAGTTGCGCCAGGAGTCATCGAGTTTGATGGGGGACTGTTGGCCGGGGTAAGGGTCCTCGCGTGGCTGGCCATTCTGCAGAATGGTGGCAGCCACGGGCCAGACCCGGAGGAAGATGAGTAGCAAAATGGGGGCGAATCTCATGGTGTGCACCAGCAGCCTTGGAGGGAGGGAAACTTGACGGTCACAGGCAGAGAAGACTCATGATAAAGGAGCAGAGCACATGCGAACGGGGGTCGAACAGAATTAACGGTCAGGGGCGACCAGCGCACTCACTTCCACCAAATTCAGCCCAGCCCAGCCAAGCCCACGGCCAAGGTTGCATTTCCCCAGTAGGGCCAGCAGGCCCAGCAGGCCCAGCACTGATGATGATGACTGGTGGCTTGCCGCCGATTCCCGCGCCACGCCCGCCCATTATGAGGTGATCGCTGACCCTGATTCGCTGTAATACGCTGTCCCTTGATGCCTCGGCGCTAAGGCGTCAAATACCCACAAACATAGCAAACACCGTCATTCATCCTTCACTGGGCCCTCATTGGCTGGCGCGTTGTATGTCGACTAGGTAGTAAGTATAGGACCATTCGACTCAAGGTTCCAAGTTCACGGTCACGCATCCGTGCTTCCTTTCAATATCATCTCTCAATCTCTCACTTGTTAACAGCTTCAGTCCCTTGACGTCACTTCATCCACCTACTACTCCTATAGCGGCATATATCATCATCCATCTCATACCTATATCACCGAAGTACTAGTTGTCTAATTCTCCCACATCTTCCACGCTACACCAACCACACTTCGCTTACCTCACTACTAAATTCAAAACATCTACTCAAAAAGTCCTTCAAATATGAAAGAAGAGAGTGACAAGAGCCTGAGACCTGCTAAGCAGATTCGCATCTCCCAAGATGAGGGCAACAAGTAAGCATTCTCCCCCTATCTATTTACTAGGCACTAATCGCAACGCAAGATATGAAGGGGCTTGCCTGACGATCATGGTGGGCCCCGGAACAAGTCGCTACACCGCGCATGAGAAGATGGCTCGTGCATCTTCGCCCTACATCGACAAACTCCTGCGGGAGCGCCCCACGCGCATCATCGATCTCCCTGGCGAGGAGCCTGCGATGGTGGCCATGTATGTGCACTGGCTCTACCATCGCACGCTGCCCGTGATCTGCGACCAAGCCCAGCAGGAGTACCTCCATCTGATCAAGGCATACGTCCTGGGGCTCAAGCTACTCGACACCCAGTTTCAGGATACCGTGGTCGATGCTATTGTTGAGCAGAGACAGTCCAGCTCCCAGGATGGCAAAAGTCCCGCTCCCAGCCGCGAAGCGATCAAATACGCCTACTCTCACACTTCTTCCTCGGCCCCAATCCGTCGACTCCTGGTGGATATCACCGCAAACCGCACAACTGATCCCAAATGGCTTACTTCTACTGAGAACGATATGCCTAGGGCGTTTCTTCTGGAGCTGGTCGCCAAGCTGATGGGCCGCCGTGCGACGAAGAAGGAGCCTCTCGACCCCTCCGCTTATCATAAGCACGCGCGTGTCTCCAACCATGCATCTCGGGCAGAGGACGATTTGGGACTTCAGGATCAATCAGGTACTTGGGCCATCCATATGTATAAGGCAGCACACTCACATTTTTGCACGACAGGAATCTCCCAACGAGATTTCTCGGGTTCACGATTCGGGAAATTCGCAAGGAAACGTAACCTTGATCATATTATCTCGGCCAACCGAGGGCTCGTGTGATGCACTTTTGAGAAGATGTTACAATGCACACGGGGTTGGGGGTTTTTTAGGGGATCGTAAGGGAATACGGTGCTGAAATGGTAATAAGGTTCTTGCTCTCATATCCCAAGCGGTACCAAAGGGCTTAAGTGACGTGAAATGACAATGCCAGTTGACCTTCTTGGTCGGACAGTCGCCTAGTAGATCCACCTTCTCTGCGATTATGGATTGAGAGTCTATGCCTTGTTTCGTTCCAGAACTGTAGCTTGTAAATAAAGCCCTCCAACCGGCCAACAATGGTAAGAGTTTGTGCTCAGTATGTGAATTTTAATCGCCCTTGAGTGCGATCGATCTACCGCGACCAGAGGAGATAAGCAAGTAAACTCCGGGAGGGAGGTTATCACGCCCTGCCTTTGAACTTTGACCTATTCGCATTTTGGAATGACAGGTAGGATGTAGCTTAGCTTGTTCATGTAGATACAGACGGACAGAAAAGCTGGACAGCAGGATTGCCCCACTGTAGTAAGGCAGAGCCAGACATCGTTGGGAGGAAAAAAACCAACAGCAAAAAGGTATGACAAGAGTGGGATTCGAACCCACGCCACTTGCGTGACTAGGAATGTTGCTCGTTGGAGCGAACATGGATGATCAGGTTGCCTGACCCTAGCGCCTTAGACCGCTCGGCCATCTTGCCTTGGTGACAGAAGGGCCGCTGCTTTGACTTTATAGCCCGCACATCATGTAGGTATCCTTCGCACCTGGGTTCTGTTCAGCATCAGCACAATACACCTGCAAAACACTATTGATAAGCTATTATCACATGGAGGTGATATGATGTGTCTCTGGAGAGCTCACCGGGCCACTCTAATGTGCCTTATGATTGATGGCGACCGTGTCTAGAGGTACCCTGATCCGGGGCTGTAGCTGGGGTCAGATATATATCTATCCGCCTGCCATGCCTGCGTGCCTTCCCGAGTTTCAATAGAAGCAATGGCCATGTTGTCATCATCCACAAATGATCTGTCCCCAGACATCAACCAACAGAAGAGATTCCAGCCACAACTTCATAATCCCTCAACAACTGTGTCCGCCCCGCTACCATAACCCTTGGTAAATGAACCCGGATTTCTGGCAGCGCTGCGACGCTCCCCATGACATGAGCTTACGAGATTTGTCCTTCCACCAAAATAAGCTCGAAAAGCCTGAATGGAGCAACTGAGAAGATGGCGGTTGGCATGAGCCAGTTCCCTGGGTCGAGTGATAAGGCCGAGGAACACCGACAGCCTGTCAGCCTGTACCAGCGAGCCGGGACTGCTATATCGCGATGGATTGGTGTCACCAGTCCGACTCCGATGAGCAAACGTCTCCATCGAGGATGAGGAGCGCTATAAAGACCAAGACCACTGCAAAGCCTCGCGGAGAACCAAGCTACTGCTCATCGAAATCTCGACCCTCCCGAGCTTAGCTGTACCCTCATTGAATCCCCCTTCACTGCTGCATCATCCGACAGGCCCGTTCTCCCCCAGCTTGAAGGCTCAACATTCGACGCCAACCTCCGCGACCGGCACATCATCTACGACTACGCGGCCCACGACGGCAACGGCAAGCCGGAGAAATGGCGCTACGAGATCTGGTCCTTCAACGAAGACCGGGTGGTCTACGCCATCCACGGCGGCCCGATGGCCGGCCGCAAGAACTTCCAAACGGCGGCGTATCAGTGCATCCGTCCCGGCGAGCTTTGGCAGGTCAACTGGTTGGAGGAAACGGGGACGATTTGCTCCTTGGTGTTCGATATCTCGAGCCGACGCTCGAGTACTCTGCTGGGCTTCTCCAAAGGCCACTGGACCCAGAACGAGGCTGCGCATGGCGACAAGCGCAACTTGGAGGATTTTGTCCACTGGCGCGAGTTGGCGAGGATTGGATCGTCGCAGGCGGACCGAGTGATGTTGAGTGAGCAGGCTGACATCCTGCAGGATTTCCACGGAGCGGGGGAGCTCAAGCCGATTGATCCGTCCTGGCCAACGCTGTAAGTGGCTGGACGTGGCGCCAAGTGGCTGGATTTATGCATACCTGGTACTGTACACACTAACCTAATGCTGTACGGTATGATCCAAGTACAGCCGATAGGTCAACTCTGGTCATGCAATATGATGTACCGTAGATGATGATGTGTTCATAAATGCCTAAGCCCGCTTTTGATCCGGACAAGCTTTGGTAAGCCCACCAAGAATCAACTCGCACGTATAAGCAGCAATTCTGATATCTACTAGCCATATCGCCGGCCTGCATGTAAGCTCCACGTCCATCGTGACCTGTCATAACTCAGAGACATGGCAGAGTCCCGGCACCATATCCGGCGCTGGAATGCACGATCCATGATGATCCTGGACCAACACCTCGGGGTTTCCGGCTTTCGGCGCCTGCAAACCCCGCCTTTGCCTACTATATAAAGAACATACCAATCGATCCCCGCTGCAATCAACAGACCGTTGCAATCCGTCCTCAGCAAGAATCTACTACTCGATTCGAACGAAAAACAAAAATGTTGTTCATCATCGGTGTTGTACTTGGCTGCTTGCTTGTCGTGGGTGTCCTTGCTTCGATAACGCCCAACCGCAACACTAATAGTCGGGCTATCTACAGCACTTCTTCTATCGAGGACTGACCAGCCCTCTCGCCCATATCCCGGGCCCGCGCTCTTCGCGATGGACCAGTGCGGTCTTTGCCTACTACTGCGTGCGGGGCGAGGTGGCCCAGTATGTCCATAGCCTGCACCGCAAATATGGTACTGTACAGCCCGCTGGACCCTGCCAGACGAAGTACGCACCATGACCCCAACTGACTCACCCACTCGCTAGGCCCCGTCGTCCGCGTTACCCCCACGGAAGTCGACATCTGCGATACCAGCGCCGTCAAGCAGATCCACAAAACCGGCAGTGCATTCCTCAAGTCCCAGTGGTACGTCGACCTCACCCCACGAGAGAGACAGAGCACCTTTTCCACCGTCGATCCCAAGTTCCATGCCGCCCACCGGCGACTGCTGTCCTCACCCATTTCCGATGCGGCCCTGATGACCCATTTCGAGCCACTCATCCGCGCCAGAGTCGGCCAAGCAATCGATGGACTGGACCAAGATATGGCAGCCACGGGAGCCGGGGATGTGTACAAATGGATGCTATTCATGGCCACGGACATCATCGGGGAGATGTCCTTCGGCGAGTCCTTCCGCATGCTGGACTCAGGCAAGGTGCGTAATACCCATTCTCCGAACGAACAGGAGCAACGGGCTCACCAACAGCAGAAAAGCCAATACAGCAATGACCTGGAACGGATCGCATTGACCGGGATCATCCGCACCACGTTTCCGACCATGTTCAAGCTGGCAGCGACTCTGCCGCTGCCCATCTTCCGTGAGACAGTGAAAGCCGTGGACCGTCTGGAGTCCTACGCCGTGGCCTCCATCGGCCGCTATTATGGCCTACTGAAACAGAACCCGAAGGACCCCAAGCCTACCCTGTTCACCAAACTGTATGACGCCGGCGAGAACGGCCTCTCCAAGGACGAGATCACCGCGGAGGCACGCACCTTCATCGTGGCCGGTAGTGACACCACCGCCGTGACGCTGACCTACCTGATCTACGCCGTGTGCCAGAACTCGCGGATCCGAGACACGCTGGTCGCCGAAATCGCGCAGCTCCCGGCGGACTTCACCGATCGGGATCTGCGCGGCCTGGCGTACTTGAATCGGGTCATTCTAGAGTCGCTCCGACTCTACAGCGCGGTTCCGTCGGCGCTGCGTCGTGCCGTGCCTGCTGGCGGGGCCCACCTCGCGGGCTATAGTCTTCCTGCCGGGGTCACGGTGGGCACACAGTCGTATTCTCTGCATCGCGACGCGAAGATCTTCGCGGACCCGGAGGAGTTCGAGCCGGATCGATGGGTGTCGCCCACTCAAGCGATGAAGGATGCTTCGCTGCCATTTGGTGGAGGGTCGCGTGGTAGGTTTAAGATTGTACCTGTTATCTGGGCGAAAAATGAGGGCTAATTCATGAATCAGTCTGTCTGGGGATACATCTGGCACGAATCGAGCTACGACTAGCCACGGCGATGTTCTTCCGTCGGTTTCCGCAGGCACATGTGTCGAGTCGTCATGGGATGAGCGAGGCAGATATGGTGATGGAGACCTTCTTCCTGATGGCGCCCAAGGGGCATCGGTGTCTGATCGAGGGGCGAGTTTCACAGCAGAAGGTTCAGTCTTAGGTGGTCGTGACTCTTATACTCTGGATGATGATTTTCATGATAAGGATTCAATAGCACACTGCCGTAGGTTGCAAATGACTGCAGTGCATCATATAACAAGTAGATGTAATATGCCATCGAGGTGTCATCCTATGGGTTTCCCCGCACTCAGCAGCAAGCAAGCTTCCCCGCTTCAACCGCACCTCATCAAACAAGTAACACAACAACACAACAACACCACGCACCACACCACACCGCTACACAAACCACATCCACCCACAGACATGTCCAGCACATCCAACACCAAGCACCTCAGTGACCGCGAGGCACTGGCCTTCCGCCAAATCCCTACCATGACCTTCTCCACCGCCACCAACCCTCTAACCGCGCCTCTTCCCCCCGACCCGAGCGCCGCCACGCCATCCCTTCGCGCCGCATCGCGCTTCGCTGTCCCCGGTAGAGCCATCATCACCGGCGGCGCAGGCTCCCTGGGCCTAACCGTCGCGCGGGCCCTACTCGAACACGGCCTGACGGCGCTCGCCCTCCTCGACCTGCCGGCGACGATCACCACCTCGACCGCCGCCCTGACCGAACTCACCACCTGCTTTCCCAACGCACAAATCCACACCTTCCCCGTGGACGTGACCTCCCCCGAAAGCATCACCACCACCATCACCACGGCCGTAACCAGCATGGGCGGCGTCGACCACCTCCTCTGCTTCGCTGGCATCGTCTCCTGCACGCCGTCGACCGGCGCCGCACCCGCCGAATTCAGCAAAGTCCTCGACGTCAACCTGACGGGCTCCTTCCTCTGCGCCCAGGCCGCCGCGGCCCACATGATCGCCCAAGGTACGGGGGGCAGCATCGTCTTCACGGCCTCCATCTCCGCCCACGCGACCAACTTCCCGCAGCCGCAGGTGGCGTACAACGTCAGCAAGGCCGGGGTGGTGCACATGACCCGCAACCTGGCGGCGGAGTGGGCCGGCCACGGGATTCGGGTCAATAGTGTCAGTCCCGGGTATATGGATACCGTGCTGAATGCCGGGGACGGACTGCAGCCGTTGCGGGAGATCTGGGCGCAGCGGTGTCCGATGGGTCGGATGGGGGATGTGGAGGAGGTGACCGGGGCGTTTGTCTTGCTGTGTAGTCCACGGGGTGGGAGGTATATCACCGGAGTGGATTTGGTGGTGGATGGGGGGGCGATGACTTTGTGAGCACCCTAGGTGGAGATAGATAGGGTGGGGAAGGGGAAGGGGAGGGGGGAAGGGGAAGGTTAGGGCTAGATGCCAGTTGGTGGTATTTTGATCTTGCCTCCATAGATATAAGATTTGAGGTTGAAGTAGACTCCCACTTGAAAACAGATAGCAGAAGCATTACTACTCGTGACACGGCTAGTACACATGGCTTGGGTTCGCTACAACACCAGTAAAGTACCAGTGACGAGTGTCTGTGTCCCCATTACGCGACACAGAATTATGCTTTAATAGACCTAAATACGGTCGGAATTGCACTTGACTTGTTCGTCGAATGCATTGGCGTTTCTGGCCTTGCCACGAAGAGACTGTCCAAGGACGACTTGAAGTAAACCGCTGCGACCGAGGAAGAAGTATATGGGCGAGGCACTCTTGCAGACCACTGGGGGCAAGAATGAGATTCCGAGGTCTCACAACCATGAGGGCGATGTGACGCTGATAGACTGACTGACTAGGCCGAAAGGGGCAATTCGGATGAGAGCCCCCCTCTCAGATAACATTCCCCAGACAATAAGGAAAGCCACTTTCCTTCTCACAACTGTGTTACAGCACCCATTAATGCGTAGGGCAAGTCATCCCATGAGCCTGATAAGAGACAATCGCATGCAGGAGTCATCTGACACCACGAGCGCATTTAAAAGCGACTCCACGAGCCTATCCACCAGTCCGCACCACCAGCATCTACCCCATAACCCTATCTGGATCCAGAGCCCAAACACATACATAACGCACACCCACACTACAAATCCACCATGACTCGCGCCCCCCTCCCAGTCCCACCTCCCATTGATCCCTCCTACACCCCGACCACCAGCATCACCACCCTCCCGGCCACCAGTCCCATCGAATCCATCCTGGCCGTTCTCGAGCGCGACGGCGGCCTCATCCTCCGCGACCTCGTCACCCCCTCCGAACTACAAGCCATCGCTGCCGAGACCGCGCCCTGGAGCACCCCGCGGCGCCACCTGGACCCCACCGTGCAGGGCGACGCCTTCTACACCATCCCCCCACAGACCACCCTCATTCCAGGCCTAGTGGGCAAATCCGCCACCGCAGCGCGCATCTGCGAGCACCCTGTCCTCGACGCCCTGCGCGAGCGCATCCTCGTCGACGAGTTCACCGTCACGCGCGAGGGCTTCATCGAGCCCAACCGCATCGACCCCCTACTGAGCATGAGCGCCTCGATGAACATCGGCTACGGGGCGCCGCGCCAGCTGCTCCACCGCGACGACAACGTGCACGGGGTGAAGCACCAGGTGCCGCCCGGAGGGGAGTGGTCGTTTCAGAATGCCAGCCAATTCGGGTGTCTCGTGGCCGGGTGCGAGGTGACGCGGGCCAAGGGGGCAACCATGTTCGTGCCGGGCAGTCATAAGTGGGGGGATGGCCGGGCGGCCATGCCCGACGAGGTGTGTTTTGCGGGTACGTCTGCCCTTTCCCCGAGCAGATCCTCTGAGCTCTTGGAGCGAGAGAGAGTGCAGAACCAAGACGAGCTGACTGAATGCGCTATGGTGGTGGAGGTAGAAATGGCCCCCGGCTCCGCCCTGATCTTCCTCGGGTCCGCGTACCACGGCGGCGGTCACAATTCTGTGCCCGACTCGGTACGGACCATGCACAGCTTCTTCTTCGTCCGGGGCACGTACCGCACCGAGGAGAATCAGTTCCTGGCCATCCCGCGCAGCAAGGTGCTGGGGAAGAGTCCGAAGATGTTGCAGCTGCTGGGGTATACGAAGCCGACCACCTCGTTGGGCATTGCGGATAATATCAGTCCGCATGAGGACGTGAAGGGAATCTGGGAGAGGGTGTGTCAGTAGCGTGCCACTTGAGATTATGTGGGTGTTTGTTTTAATGAACAGTGTGGGTTGGATGTTGGCGGCAAATGAGAGGATTGGACTACGAACGAGACTATTGTTCCCTCAACCAGCGAGGACTAACTGCTTCAACTACTGATTCAATTCGAGTCAAGTCTATATCAATGGTAGAATCATTACATGCGTTACCCATACCCAGAGGCCAAAAGATCTACAAATGAGAGGTGAAAATCCCCCCCGTGACAATCATCTTGATGGTGAGATAGTCGTCCAAGCCGTACTTGCTTCCCTCGCGGCCCATGCCCGAGTGCTTCACACCCCCAAACCTGCAGAACCATTAGCAGCAGCACAGTCACAAACAAGCGGAGAACATACGGCGCCGGCGCATCGGAGATCACCCCCGTATTGAGCGCCACCATCCCCGTCTGCAACCCCTCCGAGACGCGGTGAGATCTGGCCAAGTCGGTGGTCATGACATACGCCGCCAGCCCAACCTCAGCCTTGTTGGCCCTCTGAAGCACCTCCTTCTCCGTCTTGAACCTGATCAGCGCCGCCAGCGGGCCAAAGGTCTCCTCCGCCGTGACGCGCATCGAGTCATCTACATCGCCCAGGATGGTCAACTCATGGAAGTTCCGCCCCAACGCCGGCAGCGCATTGCCCCCGAGCAGCACGGTGGCCTTCTTCCCCACCGCATCCCGGATATGCTCCGCCGTCTTGCCCCAGCCGTTGGTCAGGGGGCCATGCGTCGCCTGCGCATCCTCCAAGCCATTCCCCACCCGGAACTTGCGCACCTCCTCCACCAACCGCCGAGAGAAACGGTCGTAGATCCCCTCCTGCACGTAGATGCGATTCGCGCAGACGCACGTCTGGCCCGTAACCTTGAACTTACTCGCGATGGCGGCCGTGACCGCGACCTCGACATCGGCATCATCGAACACGATGAACGGGGCATTGCCGCCCAGCTCCAGACTCAACTTCTTGAGCGTGTCGCTACTCTGCCGCATGAGCAGCTTCCCGACGCGCGTCGACCCGGTGAACGAGATCTTCTTGACCGTCTCGCTCTCGCACAGCGCCAACCCGAGCTGGGGGGTATTCTCCAGCGCGGTGACGACATTCAACACCCCCTTGGGCACCCCGGCCCGCTCCGCCAGCACGGCCAGCGCATTGGAAGCGAACGGGGTGAGCCCATCCGACTTAAGCACCACGGTACACCCGGCCGCCAGCGCGGCGGCGATCTTGCGCGCCCCCATGGCCAAGGGAAAGTTCCAGGGCACGATGAGCCCGCACACGCCGACGGGCTCCTTGAGCACCTGCACGCGGCTGGCCGGGTGGCTGTGCGGGATCACGTCGCCGTAGATGCGCGCGGCCTCCTCGCCGAACCACTCGAAGAAGCTCGCCGCGAAGAGCACCTCGCCCTCCGCGTCGCCCCGGACCTTGCCGTTCTCCGCCGTGATGATCCGTCCGATGTCCCGCTGGTTCGCGACGAGTAAGTCGTACAGCTTGCGCAGGATGCGGCCGCGCTGGCGGCCCGACTGGCTGCGCCAGGCGGGGAAGGCGGCGGCCGCGGCGGCGATGGCGGTCTGGATGTCTCTGAGGGTGGATTCGGGGCAGCTGCCTAAGGTGGTCTCGTCGGCGGGGTTGGTGACGGGGAAGGTTTGGCCGGATTGGCTGGGGACCCAGGCGCCGTTAATGTAGCATTTGTCGACGAAGAGGGTCGAGTCGTGGAGGGTGGAAGCGAAGGTTGATGTCATTTTGGTGGTGGTGCTGGTGGGGTTTGTTGTTTGTTGTGGGAATGGGGTTGATTGTGGTACAGGGAAGGGAGAAGCTGGCTTATATGAGGGAGGACTGTGGTAGAGGAGCGTACAGCTGGGTATAAGACTGAGGGTATCTGCAATTGGCCTTCCTAGTCGAGTCAAAAGAATGAGATACCCTCGGCTGGCGCTGCTCGGCTTTCCCTCCCGACCCCCGACTTCGGCAGGCCTCGGATACAGTTGCCTGTTCGGGTGTGTTTGGAGAGAGCCAGGCCCTAACTTACCCTC